GTATTGGGCGATTTTTTAGTTTCTGAGTCTATTGATGTGTTTTGCGCAGAAAGTCGGTTGTGTTGAGGTGTTTTATGGGGATTTATGATGTTATTGATGTGTTTTGTGCGAATTTATGTGTGAGAGTGTGCAAACTATGAATATGACAACATTAGGGCATAATAGTCCTATAGGAACTCTCTTTTTGAGTTCCCTCATATTGGTTTTAACCTCCTAAGTGTTAGAGGTAAAAAACCACACATGTGAAACTCCAAAAAGAGCAAAGAAGTGGTTTGAAATTCTAAAATGAGGTGGGGTCTTATCATTAAGATTCTAAGATAGTCAAAGGAAAAAGTTCTAAGGCTAGAACCTAAATCTTAAGAAGAAAATTTGCCTTACTAAAATGAGATCAACAGTGCGCAGAACTATGACAATATAGGTGTCCTTCATAAGTGAAATTGACGTTCCGGATGCACTCGCGTGGTCCGTTTTATCATCCAGGGTTATCGGGACAAGTTTGTCGACGTTCGAGCCAATTTTAAACTAACATCGAGCGCCGTGCAGTGGATGACATTAGTTGATTCAACCGGAGCTGTCCGGCTAGCGAATGTCGATTGACCCTCGCCTAAGCGGCGACCAATGTCAAACAGAATGCTCTCAGTAACGAGCCGCTCAACTCGTGCCGAATAATCTCAAATTTGTATCGTTTAGTTAATTATGGTGTAGTGAATGTGTGAGTAGTCCATTCAAGGTAAAAAATGGCGTGGTTCATTTCGTCATTCGAGGTCATCAGGACAAGTTTGTCGACGATCGAGCCAATTTAAGCTAACATCGAGCGTCGAGCAGTGGATGACATTAGTTGATCCAACCGAAGCTATCTGGCTAGCTAATGTTGATTAACCCTCGCCTAAGCGGCGATCAATGTCAAACAGAATGCTCCCAGTAACGAGCTGCTCAACTCGTGCCGAATAATCTCAAATTTGTACCATTTAGTTAATTATGGTGTAGTGAATGTGTGAGTAGTCCATTTAAGGTAAAAAATGGTGTTCCTAAGGCTTTATGATCCAATCGGAACTCATTTTTTTGAGTCTTCACTTGTTGTTCTCAATCAACTTAATCAATTATTGAGGATTTAAAATCACACATGTGTAATCTCACAAAAAGAGTCAAGAAGTGGTTTGGAGGATAGTCAATAGGAAAGCCCTAAGGCTAGATCCTAGCCTATAGGAGAGGAAAGAAACAGGACTTCACAAAAAATGAGGTCAACACCTACACACCCCCTACACGACATTCAAAGCCTCATGTCGGAGGATAAAAAACATGCAAATCAAAGAGTAGTCACCATCTCCTCCATCCTCTCCACTTTCTCAATACAAGCCAACAACTTGTGCATTTCATCACCTCACTAAATCCTTGTCGAATGAGCAAAAAAGTTATCGATCTTCTCCAGGCGATGAGGCAACGATCCATGAGACATCCAACTCCCATTAGTTGCTTCTCCATGGGTCGTGAGAGGATCATCAAGGCGATTACATCCTTGCTCGAGAGTTGGCTTGTCACGACCCAACCTGAGCTAACCTTAGTACGAAAATAGATTATATCGTCAAGTACATGATAGATTATTTATCTCAAAATCTGTTTGGAAAAAAAAATTATCTTCTATTTTTTCATTACGCAAAGTGTTTAAGTCATAAAATATAGTATAAAAAATAAAATTACAGATGATACCATCACATTTTTCTTATACACATCAATACTATTTACATCTATAACATTTAAATATATTGATCATTCATCATGATTTTTTAATAATTCCAACAAAACAAACACATTTATCACGATCACAAAAAAATATGTATAAAATATATTTCTATCAGCAAGTATTATCAACCAACTTCATTAGATCCTTACCTTTTTCTAAAAACATGTAAAGGCAATAAGAGGGAGCAACTATAGCTCACTTGGTTACACAAAATTTACAACTGAAATCACTGCAGAAAATAAAATAATATGTATGCTAAATAGACATATGTATGCTATAATACATGTAACCATAATATGATATAAAATAAAAGTAGTAGCAGTGTAAGAAGATGTATATCATCAAGCACAACATATCATCCAGTATGACTCCCAACATATATCGTCAGCATCAGGCCTTTAGCCCACCCTTCTACGCAGGGTATCATATCTTCGCCAACCTGAATCTTAGTAGCCAGCTTTTCTTGCAGGCATACATTTCACAATATTATAACATTTCAAGTGTTTAATATATTCATCATCGTAGTGTATATGCAAAACATGTATGTAAAACAAAATAGGGAGATTCACAATATGCAATAATTTGACCAATCCTTATGCACCAATCGAAATAGAAATTGCATATTAAGTATGTATATATTCATCTTTGTGTCAATAATTTATAATATACACATAATAATCAATGTGTTTGGTATCATCAAAATTAAATCTTTTTAGGCTAGGAATAGTTTACAAAACTCACTATTTGGATGCTGAGAAACGTATGTTGATTGGGTGTAGTGGTGAATAAGCTCCCTCTCAAAATATCTAATCTTTAGATAATGTCATTTGTAAAATTGAAAATTTTCAATTTTCATTAATAAAAGTAAGAGTTTATCATAAAGAAAGTTGCATCGATAGGATATTAAGAAAATTACAACTATGCTTAATTATTTTCCCTTTTTTTGACGTTTTAAAAAGGTGAGAAAATAATTAAGCAAACAACAATCAAACTTCTGCCGAAAGAGGAGAGGTAGTGAAATGAGTTGAGTGTGAGGTCTATAGAGGAAAAGAAATATCTACAAGTTCAATGGTCGTAGAATTATAGGTTTTAATGTCTCCAAAAGGATATATGATTGTTACACAATGGTGAGAAATTTTCAGTTGTTTGTATGATTGAGATCAAGTCCTATATATGATTAAGCAATTGGTAGAGCAACATCTAAGTGTTTGGTCATATTTAATATTCTTCAATAACATTTATGATATAAACCAAAGAGCTGGGTCATATATATTTTATTATAAATTATACATACAACCAGGGAAGTGAGTCATAAAGGGTTATTTCAACCCCATTTTAAATTCTTGGGACTAATTTAAAATTTTTATAAAATCTGGGACCAAAATTTACCCATGTAAACTGTCGAGGGGACTATTTTGACACTTTACCTATTTTAATTTTCTACTAATAGAGCAAAATTTATCTATCAGAGGTTTTGTGAAAATGTTCAATGAATATTGCCAATGAATTCACTATCAACATCATTTTGAGATCCATATATTTGGTCTGTTACATTATATGAGATTTGGGTGAAGTTAATTGCATTGATGTTGACTTACCTAATAGGATTGTAAAGTAGTTGTTTTTAGCCACATTTACATAACTCCATTCAGATACATACTTGTCCTACGCAGTAGGCAAAGCTGTTGATTTTTTATTGTCGTAGTTTTTTTGGTGGTTGATTTTGGTGTTGGTTTATTTCTATTTGGTGGTTATGACTATGGTTCGTAGACATTAAAAAAACATCTCTATAGCTTGATGAAAATTCCTATGGTTATAAAAATTATTCCTTCTCTTTTAGAATTTTAATCTTATTCAAGTGTGTAACTTGAAAAAGCCCGGGAGATGCAATTTCTAGTTAATAGCATGATATTTTTGTGGTAAAATTAACATACATACCACAAAATTCTTATGTATTTATATATCTAATTCCTAAAGTTTTATAATTACATATAGAGCACTTTAGTGTCATAAACTTATGCATGAAAAAGATGCATTTCACATAAAAAAGTAAATAATTGTTGTATTTTTGATATATTCAAGATTTGAGTGGTATGCTTGTAAAGTTGTAAATAAGAATGTTTGTGTTAGATATGTAAATATATAAGAGTTGTGCGTATGCATAATGCTCTTTTTTGTTTACTTTTCTGTATTCTTTGTTTTCTTCTCAACTTTCATCTTCTACTTTTCCATATTTATGGTTGAAAATGAGTTCCTGTTTTGCTGGATTTGCTATAATCTAATTTTTTGTTAATTTAAATTTTTTGAAGTTTCTACCATGAACATTGCCTTCTTGAGTTTTTATTATGTTTGTTAATTTCTAGTACAAAGCATGAATCATTTGTCTGAATTGATTCTATATATTTTAGTTTTGATCACAGCCGTTTAATACTTGTTTTGATATTATAGCTTGTTTCCTTTGAATTTGTGCTTTTTTTATTGCATTTTCTTTGCTATTTATGGCAGGGCCGTTTGGGGCAGCTTATAGGTGAAAACGCTGCCTCACCGTTTGGAAAACACGTTTCGGCAGTTTATCCGAAAACGCGGTTGGGTTTTTACACTAAACGCAGGCCACAGGTTGAGCCCTGCGGGCCACCCGCGGGCCACCCGCGGGCCGCATTTTAGGATAAGCTGCTTATCTGGATAAGCACAATCTGCCCCAAACACACCCTTAGATTCACATTAAAAATCTTATATCCGAAGACATCCTACATTATGGACTCAATTTTTCCTTGTGAAATATCTGTGGGAGAAAAAAAAATATTCTACCATGGTTTGCATATTTGCAGCATATATTGAGTTGAATTTTTGTTTTTGCTGCCACTCAGGATGGCGATTTCTGTAGGAAATTCAAGGCATATTTTTTTGGGTATTTACATACATGCCACACAATTCTCATGTATTTACCTATCTAACACTTAAACTTTCATATTTACATGCATGTCACCCTAATCTTTAATATCATATAATAAATATCACCATCACTATTTTTTTAAAAGTGAAATATACCTTTCCATGTATAGTTTTATGAGACTAAAATATTGTAAGTGTAAATATCAAACTTTGGGTGTTTGATATGTATACATAAGAAATGTGTGGTATGTATATAAATCTCCCTTCTTTGTTTGGCTGTATAGTGATAGTTAAACTTATGCACATTTTGCTTGCATGAGGAACTTTATCAGACTGAATGTGGTCATGCTTTAATTTCAATACTCAGGTGCTCGATTAGAAATGAGAGAACAGAGTACTTCCGACGGAACTCTCTCCATTGATGATTTTTATATTGCTGCAAAGGCACTTTGTGAACGATGGAAAAGTGCAAATTCTACTCTTTCAAATTGGACCTGGATACCTTGCAAAAGGATACCTATAGGTGTTTCATATAATGTGGGTGATATTCTTAACCTCCTTCACTGCTACTTCTCTTATGTTTTGTTTTTTACATACGTACCACCCAAATATTATGTAGTTACATATCTAACACCTCAACTTCACTTTTTACCTTTATACCACCCAAATCTTTTATATCACAAAAAATGACACTATTTTAACTTTTCTATCATGGGTAGGGTGGCATGTATGTAAAAATTGAAGTCAGGTGTTAGGTATGTAAATACATAGGAATTGAATGGTCTGTATGTAAATCTTCCTTCTCCCTCTCTTATGCTCACTAGTATTATATTTAGCAGGACGGATACCTATCACTTGAGAATGTATACCATTTAAATTCGCGCAAGGTTTGCAAATGACATGATATATTGATAATGTGGTGGAAATAATTAGCTGGGTTATATAGAAGGGGCATTTACATACATCCCACCCAATTCCTATGTATTTACATATCTGACAACTATACTTTTTATATTTAAATTACTTAAATATTTCATATCACATCAAAGATACACAATTTTACATCTTAAAAAGTGAAACATGCCTTTTTTGTATATGTACGATGGCATAATGTTGCGACTCAGCCTAGGGTTTGGAATTAACCAAGGCGGGAGTAGACGATTGGATGGTAAAAATTTAAATTTTTTATATTTATATTCTGTAATTAGCATTTAACAAATGAAAAAATCACTAAAGAAAATAAATTAAAACACTAACATTAAATTTACTTCATTATAGGTTATCCGCGTATTCTATAAATATTTTCTAATATATTGTTAATCTTTTAATCAATTAATTAAACCTGAAAAGTTAATTTAAATAATAGTAAGCTAATCATAGCAGTGAATACTCAATTTTTCTAAATTATAGTAATACAATGATAAAGAAGTCAATATGCATGACAATTAAATTTTTTATAAATCAATTGAAGATCATCAAAATGATTGTATTATTTAATATGATTATTCAATGTAATTTTAAGCGCTCATCATATCTAACTATATTATTCTCATATTAATATTTTTTTTAATTTATATACATCCGTCAAAAGAGTATTGTTTAAATTTGTACTATTTAAGATACTTCAATATTAATATTATTTTTCATTTACGTGCATTAATACTTTTAACGTTTATTCACTAGTACCATAAATGAGTGATTTCATCATAGCCAAGTATGCGCATGCAAGTAATCAAAGTAAAACTCATTACTATTTTTTTGTCATAGCATTCAGTATGTAATACAATTTCTTAAATTATGCATTTGATGTACATATACATATATCAGTAACATACGATTCAATTTGACCAAATGAATTTAAAGAGGAGATAAAATCTATCTAAGTAATTAATAAAGTGTATAATTTAAAAGTACATGTACTTGTCTTGATGTCGATTTAATTATTTTTGGATTTGCCTTGACCTAAACTCTTCTAAAATTAAAACTTACAATAAACATGGGTATTAATATTATTATAAATTAATTAATTCTATATTGTAATTAACTATTAACTTTATATTGTTTAAATATTAAATTATTATTGTTATAATTTGTGTAATCCTAATTATTTTTCCATTCAACACACACACACACACACACACACACACACACACACAAACATACATACATAGCTATGCCATATGAAATCTGCATGACAGCGGCGATGCCATATTAAATGTATGATTCCAGATTACGAACCGTTGGAGCTAGGCGTTACAAACTTTCCCACTTAAAAAAATTTCATCTTCGAAATTTAAAACCTCCTTAAGCCATCTCATAAGGCAGATAAACATGAACTATCCATAAACTTCATGAAGAAAACTTGTAGTCATTCCTTAAGATGCAAAGGTGTTATTGTAAACAAATATATGATATAAGGTATACTCTCATCATCAACAAAATTAGGATAACAACATAACTCATCAAAGTGAGATAACTAGAACAACACACAATCACTAAAACAAGGAAAATATGTTAGACAAACCCCCCTTATATGTAAGAAAATATGTGAAGGAGTTCCAACTGTTTTATGCTCTTCTGATGTTTTTTGGCCACGGATGGACAACATCTCGCAATATGACCAGGCTGAGGACACCAGTCGGATTTATGAATGCCCATCAAACATTCACCTTTATGTTGTTTTCTACATTTGACACACGTGATTACGATACTTTAAGAAGTGCCACCACTGAATTTATCTGAACTGAAATTGGGCTTCTTCCCATTCGATCCCTCTGATTGGTTCACTTGTTTAGTTACATCGAAACTCTTTCTTTTGTATATATCTTTACGCTTTTGTGTGAGCTGAGAATCAATCTCTAGTCGTCTAGCCGGTCTACTAACATTGAATAGTCATCTAAGTGACAATAGTGGCTGCTTGATTGAATCCTTCAATCATGAAAAGAATTTGTAACATTTTTTTTATGCAGTAGTTATCAACTGTGGTGCATACCTTGACAGTGCCATGAATTCTGCTTCGTACTGCATCACCATTGTCCCCCTTGCACCAACTTGATGAACTTGTCTTATATCTATCTTCGAGAAGCGGATAGGGCACAAAAAAGTTCAAAAAAATCTTCCCAACTTATCATCATGTAGGGTATGTCCCCTAATGTGCTTTGACGCTGCCCTCACCATCTTTCAACCTATCTATCCAAAAGAAAAGTAGCTAATGATACTATTATTTCATCCGAACACGCTATGCTATCTAGTATATTTTCTATCCTCATTAACTAGTTATCCGCTTCAATTAGATCTTCAGTTCTCTTGAACAATGGTGAACACAAATTTTGAAATATCTTCAAATACTTATATACAACATCTGTTTCACATTTAATAGACTGTGATTTGGACTCTTGAATCAGTTGAGTCATGGTCACCATCATCAGGTCAGGACATTAGTATTCACACTAACAACAAACAATACTTCTTTATGTTCTAACAGACTCTCTTCTTTTATAATATCAAGTACAACCATTTGCCTGAATTAATGTAATTACTAATTAGAGTTAACTTAAAATTTTAATTTTTATTCAACAAAAACAACTACAATAAGCCTTTGTTTCAGTAAGTGGGGCCAACTACATGAATCCTTTATCTCCATTGTGCCCTGTTGAGCGTCATATTTTCATTTAATTCTAATAAATTAAGATCATTTTTTATACAATAATTCTTAGTCTTTCTAGGTCCGCCTCTACCATTCTTAACATAAGTTGAGTCCAAAACATCTACTCTTCTAACTAGATCATCAGATGGTCAACATTTAATGTGACCAAACCATCTAAGACGACTCTCTCTAATTTTGTCCGCCACTGGAGCAACACTAACCCAATCACGAATATATTCATTTCACATTTTGTCTCCAAGTGTTAAGCCACCCATCCAACTAAGCATTCTCATCTCGATAATATTTAACTTTGTTTGTAGAAAATTTATTGAAAAGCTCATCAAAATAGCTCACTCACTTATGTTGAATATTTTGTCTAAGAAAATCACTTTTTGATTGTCATCTTTAATACACTTGAGTTAAATTTTTTACTTTTCTTTTCTCTTTGCTTGTTTAGTTTATATATATATTTTTCATCATCTTTAGATCTAATATATTATAACGATCGCTAAAAGCAGAATTTTTATCGTCACAAATTATTTTCTTAGATTCCCTTGGGCCATCTTATAATTTTTCTAGTTCTTTAATCTTTTATATTTAAATCAATTTTTATAACACAACTTATATTTTATCTTTTCTTGCACATTATTATTTCACCAACTATTTTTATTTATAAAAAGTTTTATTTTGAATTTTCAAGTATTTTTGTTATCATTTGTTTAATAGTATTTGTTATTTTCTCACATAGAATTTGCTTTTCATGAACATTCTATATCTTGAGATCTTGAAGTTTGTTAATACAAATAGTTTTATTTGTGTATTTTAGGAGTTCCATCTAATTATATGACAATAATTTCTTGTATTCTTTATCTAACAACTCTTCGTTATAAAATCCAAAAGTAATAATCGATGTTGAGTAATTAAATTCTCACTTGAAATGACCTTTCACTTTTTACATTCTCGACAATCTTTTCTTCTCATATAAAGTAATCTATTTGCATTTTATTAGATCCATTTTTATAAGTAATAATATAATCATCTCTCTTAAATAAAGTATTAACAATAACAAAATCATAAGCTAAAACGAAATTTAACATGGCTTTACCTTCATTAATCACTCCAAATTCATAGCCACTATGAATATTTCTAAAATTTGCTACTACTCTAGCAACTTGTCCATTTAAATCTTCTCCAATAAAACTTTTTTCTTCAAGCCATATCATTTATATTAATTATTCAACATAATTCCAGAACTATATCTAAACCTACTTGAGGAGCATAAACTCTTATAATATTAAAAATCTTAGTTTCAACAACAATCTTAAGGGCTTTAATTCTATTTTCAATTCTATTAATTTTTATATACCTACAACATTTCTAGTGCGATTTCTATCTGAATACCGAAATTTGAAACCTAAGCCGAAATTTGAAACCTAAGCTATCTATCTTCTATGCTTTTTCTCTAACTCATTTAGTTTTTTTGAATACATATGATATTTATTTTCATAAGAAGCATAATATCAACTAATTCTATACATGTGTGAGTATCTGTATTCCAAAATTCCTAACCTAATATTAATTTCACTGACTAACTTCTTTACCCTCATCCGTCCGCAATGGGAGAACCCTTGCTTATTTGACACTATACTCGGGTGTAGGTGTAGCCGCCTGTGCACACTTTTCACTATATTCGGGTCATACAACACGTTTCTAAGAGGCGCCTTAACATTTATACAAGGATCTCAAGGATCCATGTCATGATTTTTTAACAACTTTTGTGTTGGCTGTCGACTATCTAACACAATCCTCAACTTTTTATATCCGGGGCATTAGACCCAACAGTGACATTGTTAATTTTTAATTTTTATTATTAGTAAAATTTTCTTATAACTCTTCTAGTTTCTTTTATCTAGAATACATTATTTAATTCTAAAACATATTTCTATTACCATTTTCGTCACGGCTCGACCTGGAGCTTGGAATTAGCAAGCTAGATATGGTCGGAAGGTGGAAATTAAAATTTATATATTTATTTTCTATAATTTGCATTTAACAAAAGAAATAGCCACTAAAAAAAGGAAATTAAATTAGTGTTATTAAATTTATCTCATAACATGTTGTCCACATCTTTTCTAAATATTTTCTATTCTAATTAATCAATTAATTAAACCCGAAAAGTTAATTTAAAACAACACTGAAATAACCATAGCTAGTGAATACTCAATACTCTTAATGTATTAT